GCCATTTCATGTTTCCCCCGGGGTCCTAGGCTCAGGACACTGAGCATGAGATTTCTGTAATGAATGTCAATAAATCAAAAGTAGGTTTGCAGCTTACAGATACACACCTGAACAGCATACTCAAGATTGCTACAGAAGAGACATTTTGATGGAATAATTCAGAGCAAGAGGTATCAGTTATCAGAGACTGTTAAATAGACAAAATGTAGCAAGAGTGCTAGTATTTTAAACATATTTTATTTTATTTAAAGTTTAACAAATCTTTAATTGTTTGTCTGTGTCCTTTATAAAGTTTATATCTCCGCTATCTGGCATTACATTTTATGACACACATGGCCCGGCCCAATAAGGTCTCATTTGTGTCAGATCCGGCCCTCGTAACAAATGAGTTTGACACCCCTGTCTTAGAGGATGAAGGATGGAAGATGTGCTACAAGACTGATGGAGGGCGAATGCTATCCCAATCTTCAAAAAAGGGAGGAAGGATGACCCAGGAAACTACTAGGCAGTCAGTCTGACTTCAGGCTCTGTCCCAGGGAAGATACTGGAGAGATTTTAGTTTTTAATCCCCTGAAGACAGGGTAGCTTTATTTGGTGATCCAGAAGGACAATTTGGTGATCCAGGGAAGTCAGCATGGATTTTCCCCCAACAGGTCTTGCCAGATCAACTTCATTTCCTTATTTGATCAAATGACAGGCTTACTGGATCACGGAAATGGCATCGACATTGTTTATCTGGATTTCATTAAAGCTTTTGAAATGGGTAAACTGGAGGACTGCAGCCTGGACTCTAGCGTAGTTAGGTGGATGGGGAACTGGTTGGAGAATTGTATCTAAAGTGTAGTTGTCAATGGCATTTCATCTTATTGGAAGGAGGTGTCCACTGTGGTGCCACAGGGCTCAGTTCAGGGCCTGGTACTTTTCAATATTTTTATAAATGATCAGGATTAGGGGGTGAAGGGACTACTCATTAATTTGCAGACAATACCAAATTGGGAATACCAGGGGTCTTTTTGTAGAAAAAGAGCTGCAGGAGCTCATTAGCATACGGTATGCTAATGAGCTACTAGGCTATTAGCATAATAACTCATTAGCATATGCAACACTCCCTGACATCACTGGAAGTGATGTCAGAAGGGAAAGCAAAAGGGGGGGAAGGCATCTTCAAAAGCCTCCCCTTCCCTTCCCTGGGGGGGGAAGCAAAGAGAGAAGGGGTTTAAAGTTTAAACCCCTTCTCACTAGAGTTGGGCCACAGAAGAAGGAAAGAGAGTGAGAGAGTAGAGAGAAGGAACAAAGGAAGGAAAGAGT